GGCACAACAACAAAATGACAAAGATGACAAAAGAGAGTAGACCATTGGGCCTTTCTAGCCCATTTCCAGGTGTCAGCCAATCATTTGTTGAGAAGCCAGGGTATCAGCTTCAACAACATAGCTGGGTAGCTTGTTTAATACTGCCTCAATTCTTGAAACAACCACTACCAAAAGACATTTTCAGACATTATAAAAAACAATAGCTTTCTTGAGCTAAAACAGGAAAGACTGTCCTAAAAATTAGATCTGTCTGGATTGAAAGTTTTTTTTTTCCCCAAAGCAACTTTTTAAATCACAGGAACAGAGAAAGTTTTAAACCAAAAAGGACATTTTATCAAGAGTTGGATCAATGTAGGGATTCCCTTGTGTGTAAATCTCAGCTTCTATCTTTGACAAACGGTATAGCTTACCCAAAATGGCTTAAAAAAACCTAATGATGCACATAGCATCTAATGCATTCAAATTATTTTTACAAGTACTGTACACTGATGCGATTTTTTTAGATTCTATAACTAAAACTGTAGGTGTTAATTTTAGTAGCTGTGTCATGCCCAGTTTTAAAGACAATGCTTTTTAGAAAGCCTGTGTATTTTTCAGAACAGAAATCATGGTGGCATCCACAGCTATAAACACACCTTTCTCAAGAACTACAGAGCTCACAGCCTAAAATTTAGACTTTTGTATAGATCTGATTTTACTACTTTGTGCCCGTTTTCATCCTCATCTGTGATACTATAAGAAGATGTATTTTGAATGATTTGTGACGTAATGACAATTGATAAAAAAGAGTAAATCTCACCATCTTGGCTTTGTCTTATTTCACAATTTTAATACATACCAGGAATTCCACAATTATTTTAAAACATTAGAATTTTCCACAACATGGAAAACATGCGACTACCTTTCAGAATGGGAATAAATTAATCTTTTTACTTTGGATGAAGGAAACAAATCGAGGTGATATTATTCAAATTAAATTCCTTTCAGCATTATTTTCAATTTGGATTTTGAATAATTACTATTGACCTAGAGGACAGTGGAACTGATGATTTTATGGAGTAAAATGCAACCCCACAGTGTTGCAAATGACTCACATGAGAATTTCTCCTCCAGATAGTGGAGTCACTGAGTGATTCACTGGAGTCACTCAGTGAATCACTGAGGCACAACTTGCTGCATCTAGAAGATGACAATATTAGCATGTACTGTACAACTCTATTCTGATAACAGTTTTCATTCTGCCCGAGACAGTGTCTTGGGAAACTGTTCTGTTAGTCTTCAAGTGGAGCCATCATGACTGCCCTTTCAGAGGAAATTAATGCTCCCTACGTCTTTTACGTCACCACAAAATCCAAAAAACAATATATTTCTAAGTGCTGAGGTAAAAAGTACTCCCCTATTGAAATCTAAAATCTGGCAAAGGTCCATGATAGCTTTGCAAAAAAAAAAACACTGTGCTGAATCTGATCAATAAAAAGAGAGAACTGTGAATTTGATGCCAAAATGGTTCTCCTCCCAGAAATCACACCATTAGCTGTCTCAATGACTCTAAGCTATAGTACAAGCTATTCACGAGTGTGCAGCGAGGAAATATGAAATGCAAATCAGGCTATAAACTGCCTTCAGTTAAGTTTTTCCACCAACATATTTCCACCAACTTACCATCTTTCAGTACAATACTACAGTATTGTACTAGATCATTAATGAACTTAAGCCATTTGTGTTTACATTTAAATGTCACAAAAAAGCTGCGGAAGAAATCCCCCTTCACATATCTCAACCTAAGGAAAACAAAGTACTGTTTACAAAACTACACAATGTTCTAAAAGTCCTCTTGTAATCCCAAATGTCAAAAGTTCACACTTCAGTTCTAAAATATTTTATATTTCAACACACAAGCAGAAAAGTGGTTTTTTGAGCTCCCCAAGAAGAGAGACTAAGGCTGGCACTCCGTGGGTAGCCATCAGTCTTTCTATGGTGCCTGGTTCATCAAGCAATGCTGCCAAGACCTGACCACACAGACACCATCGTGTAAAAACAGTGCATCGGTCTGCCACTTTCACTGCTGAGAAGGAAAAGGCTTCCCACTCCACAAAGAGTGAAGCTCAAGGGTTTAATAACAAGATGAAAAATCCTGTCAGATAAAGAAACATCACAGAACAAGACCATAGCTTCAACGAGACAGCCACTTAATAAAACAATCACATCCTGCCGGTAAAGCTATGGGCTTATAAATACTCCGACACCATCAACATGTTGATGAACATCAATGAAAGTCATTTCAAGGTTTGTTAGAGAATGGCTTTAATTATCATTTTTACTGCATGTCCCTTGTGAACCTTAATGGATGGACAGTATTTGTCTGCAAAGTCAACATGCACAAATTTACTGTACTGACTTGAACACGTACTTTAAGCTTCAATGTGTTCGGACCTGATTAAGAATCAATTGTCTGGAAGTACTGGATAAGGGTAAATTCAGTGTGAGAATAAGGGGCCTATACAAAAATGTCCAAGTCAATGAAAGACTGGATAAATCACTTGGCGTGCCCTTGCTAAAAGAACTTAGATACCCTAAATGATGAATACGTTTTGTCTGCCTTATGCTTATTCACCAAGAAAACACATTTACATTTAGAATTCATACAGACCTGTTCATGCTGACACTGCTTTGCTTCCATAAACAGTATATTCTGCCACAAACCGATCCAGCTACAGTACTGCCATTGTATCATCTGAGCCATACAGGACAGTAGGCCAGTTGGTACTGCTGGGTAGGACAGCTGTAGGATATAACCTTAAATGATGACAACACAACAGAATACTGCTTAAGTAACACTTACGGAAGAGGGAAAAAGAACCTGCCTTCGTTGGTATCTCCAGAGAGATGGCAGTCAAACACAGACTGATGAACAGCACGCACAACTGCGCACTGCAGTGTGAACATAAATACGATGACGCTCACCCCAGCCTGCCCGCAAAGAAACTCCTAATCTCTTCTCGAGGGGTGGAAAGCTCATGGCCATGCATATGCCCAAGCAAGGTCAGAACCTTGCTTGGGCATATGGTGAATTCGGAGCAGAGCATCCAAAACTCACATCTGCCTTCTCATTTCAACCAAACAGATTAATCCTGCTTGTGGTAGTGGAAAGTCAGAGATTAAAACCCCGAGAGAACTGTAGGCAGGGAAAATTACAATCCAGAGCACGTTTCAGCCCATCGAGCTCACTTGATTGCAAGTATCTGATCTGAACATCTCATCCGGTTGTTCCTTGAACGAGACAGCTGGGTAGTCTGCGCCAGACTCCCACAGATCTTTGTGTAAAGAAGTGCCTCCTGTTCGCAGTTCTAAAAGCATTACCACACAGTTTCCACTTGTGTCTTCTGTAATAAGCTTCACTGCGGGTTGTGAAGAAACATGTTGGGAGCTCATCTCCTTACATAGGGGAGATCACCATGAGCTCCTGGAGAATTAACTCAGATCCTTCTAAGTTAACTGGAACACTTCAGCCTCTTCTATGGTAATGCCGAGAAGCATGTTTATTAAAGAGCAAATGTCAGCTCCATTACTCTTGAGTGCAGTGATCTACAAAAAACTAGTGTTGAACTCCTACGGGGAGATCTGGTTTTAAATCCTAACAAGGCCTATGTTGTTTTATTAAACCAATTATTACTCTTACTGAGTTATGATTAAAGATGTTCTCATCAATAATTAGTCATTGACTGAAAACACTGACAGAACCAGACCAGGGTTCAGAAGACCACTGGGGTGCTGCACTACATCCCAAAACAGTTTTGATCTTTTATCAATTCTTCCCTTTCCTGCACATTCAAGAATGGACTCCTCCCTTGTAATATCTCACACCTTAGGGATTTATAATCTGGAACAAAGCCAGCTGGATAATATACTTCTAAGAACCTAATGTTGATGTAGTGACTATCATGCATCACCTTGAGTTCAGATTCTGTCAATCATTCTAAATCAGAGTATCACATGAGTTACAGGAGGTGATAACATTCATGATAGAGTTAATGAAAAGAATAAGCCACAATGTGAAGGAAAGGAAATTTTCCACACTGCCAACAGATAAAGGATAAGATCACAAGTGCTCAATAAAACAAGGGAAAAGACAAAAAGCTTTTTCACTCAGAGACAGGACAGAGCTAGCTCATACGTTCACAGAAGGTGACCCGTCCTTTCAGTATTGCTGAAGGATCCAATACCAAATTAAATTTACTGGAAATCAAGTGAAGCTGGCAAAGGTCAGAGTTGAAATCAGCAGCCTAGTACGTGCAGTATCTCCACAGTACTATGCTGGAGTTTGGGGATTCTTCTCATGTGTCACAGCTGGAGCACAGAAAAAAATATAGGCACAGCAATGACTCAACATAAATCACTCTATAGACGGTACACTGATCGGATTTCACTTTCCAAGTAACAGTAAGAACAATTGTTTTGCATAAAGCCTTAGAACACAAAAGCATTATACTGTCTGCAACGATATTAATAAGGAGCAATCAGGTTTTTTTGGATAGTATAAGTTCGTATAAGAGAGAGTATAAGAAATGGCAGAGTAATTTTACCCGGTGACAAAAATACCTGACCCTACGATCGCAGGGGTCATTCTTAATGCAAAACGAGATGAACAGATTTCATTTCCTGGTCATGTGAAACAGACATTTTAAGTGTTGGCGCTCTGGCTATGCCTTTGAATTTCTGAGAAATTAATAATCTGACTGTTATATATAACTCGGAGGGTAGCACTAAAGCCGAACTTTATCTAGTTGAGAGGGTTAAGCACAGAAGGGTCATCAAGCTGCAGGACTGTGGAATATCTCGAGTTCAGATGGGAGAGACGGGGAAAGAGCACCATGATGAATAGGGAAGGGGTGCTGCAATGGGACAGCACCAGATCACACAGAGGACAAGACTGGCACATCACACTAGGATCACCACTGCACGGAGGAACAGGAAATTAGACAAAAGTCAGTCCAGAAGACTGCATTTCCAGTTATTTTATTTTTATGCATTAGAAGTCAGACGAAGCAGGACGCAGTCAATTTCCTATTATGCTGGCGGTGAACAGTTAGTTAGTTAGTAGGCATCTTCTCGGTGCACAACCCCATGGCTACTTGATAAAGGTTTGGAGCCCCGTTCCTTGACACTGCCACCTGAATCGCCGTGAGACACGGACTGTCTTCCCATTAAACGGCAGTGGTGGAAGATGTGCACTGCTGAAGCCCCTGCTGCAGTCCCAGCCGAGCTCTTGTTCCGCCTGCACGAGCACCTCCAGAAGAGTCACCAATCACACCCATCATCTGGAAGGGTGGTTTTAATTCTTCTTTTGCGAGATATGAAAAAGGACATCAGGGAAGACCATAACAAGACAGACTGATGCTTCAGGGATTTTTTGGAGATTAGAAAGGACTTGTAAAAAAAAACAATTAATAAACAAAACATTCATTAATCTTTCACAGTCTAGACTGTAGATGAACTTATATCCTGCTTGCTTGAACCTTGATTTTTCAATGATATTCAGGGGTGGTTCCGATTGTATATTTTTATCTTTCATATTTGATTACTCCTTAATTTGCCTGGGAGTTTTCTGGAACAGAACTGGACACCCCGCTAACAGTTTAGATCACACTCATGGCTGCACTGCAATTTAATTTCCCTGCTCTTGAAATGCTGCCGATATCACCACTGGGCCAAGTCAAGCGTCTCTGTGCTGCAGGGGAAACAGTGGGCAGTTTCAATGTCCCCATTCATAAGTAACCGCTAGAACTGCAGGTCATGTCCACAGACTACAGGCATTATAAACAGTACTGCATATTAAAAAGGTAAGGAGTTTCCACTGTCAGGGATCACTGCAAGGACAACAGCCAACAGTTCTAACTGTGTAATCTGTGTACCTCATCAGGGTCGAAACAGAACACCAAGCTCTAATCTGATAGTGTGATGCTCATTCCATAGCCTTAACCACTTTAAACAATAACACTGAACTATACTGTATTACAAAACACTCATTTTAAAATGTTAAAATATTAATACCAAGCACACAAAATTGCTGTGGTGGTATGTACAGTATCTAAACTTATACACATAATGTCGGGCGATTGACTGCACTTGTGCAGGAGGGATGCATTAAAGGAGTCCATCGAATTACTGAGGAGAAAAAATAAAAACACTAGCGGTCCTGATCCAAAGCGTATTATGAAAGAATGTGTGTACACGGACTTTGCCATACGGTACACTCTCCGAACAATGTATTGATGTTCGGGTGAATTGGACTTCTTGAAACGATTCTTAACCATGTTTAAATGTCTATTTCTAAACAACATAAAATAGACTTTTTTTTCCTGAAAACCTTACATTCTCAAGAAGGGATCTCCAAAATAAAGGGACATTATAAACCGTTAAGTTTAGCAACACGCAGACTATAGGAGAGATTGCTTTTCCGCTACGGATCTGCACTGACAGCGATTGTGTTGTGATCTGATGGTCTGCAGTTCTACTTTAAACACACAATAAAGTCATATTTAAGTGTAGACTTAAATTAAAGACTACAGAGGGCCCCTCAAGCCTGCAAAGGTACCCCCCTCCAATGCGTACTATACATGAACTCAGGTGAAGTTCTCAAGCGACCACGAACTTTTAAAGTTCCTATTAGCCTTCCTAAAATGTTTCATTTTAATATATTCGGCTTCCCATATATATTCCAAGAAGGTACAGTACGCTTTGTTTACTTAATTACTTGAGCTTCAATAAAAAGACTATTCCTGTACTTAATATTTAAAACATTTCACCTGCCTGTAAGTTAACACTGGACTCCTCCTCATTTTAATGTACTGAAAATGGTCTCAAAATGGTCAGTTAAATTCTTTTTTTTAAAAAAACGGCATCACTAGTGTTCCTGTAAGAGCACTGTTTGCACGCAACAATGCGTACGAGAGCGACAAGCCTGAAGCCTGCAGAGCCGCTGTGTGCAGACAGCTTCACGCTCAGCTCCTCTCCGCACGCCATTAAGAAACGCTCATGTTGTTGAAAGACTGGTGGGCAATCTTTGCTTAGCAGACCGTGCCTTACTCCGATTGTACAAAGTATGTAACAGTACTACAGGAACACAATGTTGTGGAAATACACGTGTCTACGATCATCTTTTTAGCTGCCCTATCGGACCGTTTGAAACGGATCGTCTTTTTTTTTTTCTCAACAGCAGGGTGAAACACATGGTGGGTTTAGACGCAGTCTCTGAACTTCACGCTCAGTCGGGTCATCACACCTGTGGTCCCTTTCAACTTGAACTCGTCAGTTTGGAGGTGCCGTGCAAGTCGCCGCTCTCACCTCCGCCGGGCACAAGGCGCTCTGATCGGAGCGCTACACCGGGACAGCGCCACGGCAGCGCACTGCGGTCAAAACGTGAACACACCACTACCTCCACAGCACGCATCGCCATCTCCTCAGACTAATCTATATCGGTGGGTTTCATTTTGTCCTCTTTCCAAAAACAGAAAATCGCCAGATAAGTGCCAATGGAACCCTACATGAAAACGGTACGTCTGAAGGTGATCCTCAACAACCACTCCAAAGCATTAGCCAAAAATACACCCAAGCATCGTCACACAATACCAGATTTAGCATAACACCAATCAATGACAGTTAACAGTAGGAGAGTATAAAAATACATTTTAACATGCTTTACCTTCTTCACAGTTCTTGGAGCTTCGACTACCGTCCCATCGCGGTTCACAAGTGCTTCTCCGCCGTTCTGCTGAGGGTCTGTCCGCTTCATTGCCGATGCCTGCGGCATCTTCATGGGGTTCGGGCTCGGGGTTGGAGGGCTGGGGTCCCCGCTTGCAGTTGCCTCCGAAGCCGCAGCTGCGGCATTAGGCTCGTTTTTAACAGCCGGCTTCTCTTCCGCCTTTGGGGCCACTTGTGGAACCGGTGGCAAATCTTTGTTAGGTATGTCTTTCAGCTCGACCTCGGCCATTTTCGCTGCCACAACCTGGACCGACATCGCTGCAATTTCACAAAGTCCTCTTTCCAGGCTCACACATACACAAACGGATACGTGTGGTGAAGGATGGCGTATACGGAGGGGCTATATGGTAAATGTAGTCTCACGTCGAGGATCTATGACGAAAAAAAAACATAAACCATGCAAATATCTTTCACACAAATCGCCTTTGTCGTCTGATACTTCCAAAACGTGTATTACTTTCGTTGTATGTATCTCATTGTACAAAATACTGCAGACAGCAAAATGATATTGAAAGTCCCTTTGCCCAGCGTAATTTGTAAAACTACATTTCCCTACACAGCTTGCAAGAGGCTCTTTATTGTTGCTCCTTCATTTAGGTCGTTCCGAGCCAAAAGCGCTCATTGACGTAGGCGAGGGGAGGGCCATTCGCTGCTCGTAGAATATCCCTGCCAAGTAATGTTGTCTTTGTTGCCAATTTCTTGTTTTAAAGTTAGATTACAAAGAATAACATAACCATGTTTTAGTTTGCGCGATGGAGTTGGCAGGGTGTTGACGTCCAAAAATGAATCCTATAATTTATTGTATTTTTATATAAAAATGAACACCTCTTCTTTTTCTTATTTTGAACTTATTTTGCATGTTAGTATTAAAAGTTTCCCAAGTACTTGTACATTGTTACATTTGATGACTTGTGACTTATATGGTGTTACATTTGGTGGCTATTGTTTCTGTATTTAAAAATTTCTAAAGGAACCAATTACAATTAGTTTACACATAAGTCACAGAAAAATACCCAGTCCTGTAGTCCCGTTTTTCTTAGTATTGCTAAAACCTACTTTTCTAAAAGCAAAGTAAACGGGTTCGTTTGTTTTATTAGCGAAGTGTTGATCTTCACAACATGCTCGGCAGTTATTTCAGATTTTGGTCGTTAGTTAGGCAAATTGCGATTTAAGAATGTGTAAATAAATGTGACATTACTAAAATATATTCTCCGTGAATAATTTGACATTAATTGCTGTATAAACCAGGATTTTTTTTATATTTAGATTTTTACGTTTTAATATTATTTTTTTAAAATAGACCAGAATTTAGCTTTTTTGCCATTGACTTACTTCAACTGTGTGGTGTGGGTTGTCCTTGAGATCAAAGCTGAACATTACATTATATTAGTTGATTCCGTGTATTTCTTTAAATCTCTTAATATTTATCACATTTGTTACGCGCAAGAAGGTATAGTGTAGCAGTTTTATTATGTAGCGTTTGCGGCAATTTATTCTGAAGGACAAAATCTTATCTTCACATCTTCGCTATAGAGCTCTACTTTAGAGGTGGTATCCTTAATAGTAGCTTTTGAAATATTTCTGCCGTCACTACACCTACTTTTTTGTGCACATCTTATACGAAAATATTTTACAAATATAGGCTCTTGAGCTTGTATTACATTACTAGAAGTGGCAGATCTAAAGGCATTACAATACTAACACTCGTAACACTCTGGAATTTCACAGCATTGGAACTTATTTTCATACCTGTACGTGTTGTGCCACATGATTTACTGTTACTACCAGTGTATTTGCATCAACCTACATAGCTTTCCAAGGGCTGCTGCACTGTAGAATATAGTGGCTGGCTGTCAATAATATAAGTGCAAGTAAGACAAGTTGAAACTTTTCAGTCCTCCAATGTTTGCTGCTTTCTGTCCCTGGGAAAGGCACTTCAGTCTGACTGCTTCAGTACAAATGCCCTGCTCCATGTCATCATTGTAAATTAGAATCTGTTCTCAATTCACTTACCTGGTTAAACAAAGGATTAAAAAATTGCTAGAAGGAATCGGAGAAGTAATCTGCCCTGTGATGTTCTCTTGACCCCAATGTCCGTTGCTTGTTGCCTCTGTAATACAGTCCTGGGTTGCAGTGAAACTGTGTAAAAGATCAATAATGTGTGATGACAAACAATGCTTTCTTTAATGTTCCAGCATTCTTTTTAAAAAAAGCTTTTTTCTTTATTGCAAAGAGTGCACCAAACTGCCTTGCAAGTACGCTGAAGAAGATCATTTGAAGTTTTTAGTGTGTGCGCATGACAAACAGAAGTGCCCAATTATCACAATTATCACAATGTTCTAGAAATTGATTTCATGAAGAAATCATGTGAAATAAAGTACATATAGTTTAACCCATGAAAAAAACCCTTTAGGTTAATGTGAAGTTGATTTCAACGCTGTAATTTATTTACAAGGCCTAAAAACCTTGTACAATGCTGGAAGAGAAAAAGGAGAATGACTGTCACCAAATGATATGTAAATCATATATATATTCCCTATTCTGTACTTCTTCAGTAGGTTTAACAGAAAACATCTACAGCATTTTAAACAAATGTCAGGTACAATTAACACAAGCGGACAGATCCTTTCATTCACATTATAAAAAATATTGGAGTGCAACAAAGTCGGGTATCAATGGACAAAGATGCTCCCTTAAAAATAAGACCAGGAAGAGAACTGTGCATATAATAGTGGTTCTCAACAAAGCTTTTATTTTCCATCAGCTGCTCCAATTCCTTATGAAGAGAGGATTGTAATCCACTTTGAAAGCAATGTCAGCCCATAGAAGCACCATGTACCCTATCAGTTGCTCAAAGTGAGCTCTGAGCTTTGTACAAGTGCAATAATTTACAGAGCTATACTGACTACAGTATCTTCAGAAAGTATTCATCCACCATAGGGTTTTTTCAGTTATGATGCAGACTCAAATAGAAATACATTTATAAGGGATTTTAATCACTGATATAAACATATTGCTCTATATCAAAGTGCAACAAAAGCTCTGTATTTTTTCAAATTTAGAAGAAAACACTGAAAAGTTGCCAATTAAGCCTTATACACATGTCACGGTAATATTACCCTACAGATGACATTAGTACCAACATGAGTATATGACACAATTTATTTATTAGTGAAATTAACTACATGCTTTGAAAGTGAATTATTTGGATGTGCATAAGCATATGTGCATACTATATATATATAACACAAACATATACAGTATACATTAATAGTGAAATTGTTTGTAGTTGCAATGTTATTCCCAAACAGAAAAGTCAAACTTTTGTTTTTCTCCACCATTCTAAAACTGGAAAGCTTACAGATAAAAATATCTCAAAACATATGATTATCTGATGGAAAGAGTAGGATTAAATCATTCTGGTGGGATGACAGGAAGAGATCACCAGAGTTCAAAAACAAGTCAATGACAACAAGACTTCAGGCCCATATTCTCAATATGATATACTTGAAAAAAAATGTATTTATAGCAATCATGGACCGTTCCCCAAATAATGAATGTCCTCCAAATGGACATGCAAAAAATGTAAATTTGGGCACACAGTCAAATTCAAATTGAAACAGTGCACACTATACGTATAGATTGTTCCCACAGAGTAACATTTTAAAGGTGTACCGAGCATCAAAAGGAAAATAACTGCAACAACTGCACCAAGTTCTTTTTTGTTCGAGATGTACTGGCACATTACTCAACAGGCAAATTAGGTAAAAATCGGTAAATTAATCATGCTGATTAGAATTTGCTGTTGAAATGATGGTGAAACAGATGTCTCCAGTTAAAGCTTCTGCTGGAAGCAATACAAGCAATGCATCAAAGATCACTTGCAGATACCGTGCTATGGGATTTTGTCCCATTCCTCTTGTACAGCCTAGACAAGCACACACGTCTTTACTGGTCTGTGAGCTCTAGATGTCCCATCTCATCACATGGGGCTCAAGCTGTGCAAGTAGGAAATCCACAGAAAACCATTGATAAAAAAGGATGGAGAATGTGCACTGTCCTGTCAGGACGATTCCACAGGAAGGGCAGGAGGAGAGGTCCCTGGACTTCATCAAAGTAGTGATTCAGTGATCTAAAAGTATGGCGATCACTGCAAGTACAGTTCTTTTGCAACCATACACTTGCCAAGACCCTGACAGTTGGACCTCCTCTATAAATCTTGGCAAAGTGTAGCGATACGAGATCGGATCATGGCCTGTCACCGACGAGCTGCTGTTAGCTCTTACTTTTTTGTCAGGTAAGAAACTGCAATGTGCCAAACAGCGAGTGACAGCGCACAAACTCAGCCTTCCACATGCTGAAGGCACAATGCTCTTGTTCTCTCGATAAGCAGAGTAGATTGGTTCCTTCCTGATTTTTTTTCTTGATTTAGACCGTGCTCGATATTCAACGGGTATCAAAATCACTACTTTGAGATGATGAATGCTTATGCAACAGAGTCACTTGAGTGTATGTCGTGATTAAATGATCATAATTACGCCAAAAATAATCAAATATTTAATAAAAAAACATATACATCTTTTTAAATACACGCATTGATGAAGTATCGTTTCCTATGATGCTCAGTATAACAACGAATTGCATTCTTTTTAAACCCTTTCCTATTATTCAGATTGTGCTTGGCAGTTCTTAAGAGTAGCTTGTATTGCATAAATCTTGCAATGGCAGAGCAATAGTTACAACTTCCTTGATTCAAAACACGTGCCTGCTTGACAAAGGTCAAACCATGATTCCAGGTTTAAAATAGAATAAGTTGAGCTGAAAGTTAGTAGATGTAAAAGCTGACAAATAGCTTTCCATTACACTGTTGCGTGACATCAGAAAAAGTCTACTGTTGGTCCACTAAAACCATTTTCAGCATTTACTAATTCTAGTTTCATTCACCAGGACAGCTCACATAGTGCAGATAACTGTCAACATAACAGCATGTTTGGAGCTAAAGGCATACAATGAATATTTAAAACCGTGATTTGATTTGGAAAATAAGAAGCAAACAGGAACCTTAAGTTTCAATTTTAGACAATACTGATTAATCTGTTCTCCTTAAATTTCTAACAGGATTGATAAAGTTGGAAAAATAAAAGATATTGGTACATGGCCTTGTCATAGCCTATTCTAAAGGTAAGTGGAATGTTTTAGTCATACAAGACTGAAATATACAATTATAAATTAGTCTGGAATACACTGAGGAAAGAACAAAGCACAAAAACACAAAAGGGGAAAAAAAAGAACAATTCAGTTTGAACAGCAGTAGAGCATTCCCCATGTAACAATCCCTACCCAGAACAGGTCTCCAACTCATTCAGAAAACCCAAACACATTGCACATATTTACCCAGTTAGTTTCCACCCAATACCTGTAAAATGACAATGTTAAAAACATTGTGCGATAAATGTTACACCTTGCGCCCTGCTCCTTCAAGATTAGGCTCCAGCTTGCCGGGCCCCTCTACAGATGAGGTAGTTATTGAAAAAGTTTGATTTTTTGATAAACTGCATGCACTCGAGAACAGGCACAGCAAAATGTGCAGGTGTTTTCGAATAGTCTATCTGCATCTTTCTTGATTAGTCAACACAAAGCAAAACACAGCTCACTTAAGATTTAAAATGCTTAAAGTGACAGTAAACTCGCATTTCAGAAATTGGTGAAAACCATAGTAAAGCAGTAGTACTTACTTAATACAGGCCCATGCACACAGCAGGTTATGCGACTGTTACTGTGAGCAAGCAGCAGCCACAAGCTCTTATAAATGATCAGTCTTACATGGCATACTGCCCTCCAGTGGGAAAAAGTGGTACGTTTTCTTCCATTAATTAAAGTTAACTACTACTGTAGCCATTCCAACCGAAGCTCTCAAAACTGGGCAACAGTGCAGGAAAAAAGCTAACTACTCAAACATAGTAAGATAGCAAATGTACAGGATTTACACAGAGGTTCTGTATTATATATATATATTTAATACAAACACCATACATTTACACATTTCATACCATTTTGTTCTTACAAACGTTCTTTTATTTAGTGTGATCCTTGGAAAATAGCGAGGTATCAAACAATGTTTGTACCTCCTATTTTAAGATTTTAATAAAATACATCAGCTTGATAAGCAAGAACCCACCATACATTACAGAATACCAAAAATGATTTTTGTAGCTTTACAAGAAAAAAAGTTTGTTGGCAAAACTACTTACACAATTGTGTGAAAATCATATGTTAGCACTCATTTGGTTAAAATATTGATCTCAATGTAGCACTTTTAAAACAAAGTATTTCAAAACAGTAACTTGTAAAGAGGTAAAAATGTTGTACTGTAACCCATTCATCATTCTGCTGGACAGCCACTAAAGTTAGGGTTTTAATGGTAATGTCCATACAGAAAACACAAACCCTTAAAAAACATTAGCACATAAACCGATGAAGAACATACAAGGTTTATTTCACCATGGCAATCTTCTGTAAAAATAGCCCAATTGTAAAGGTCTCCTAAATTCAAAGGAACTAATGCTGAAGAGCATTAGAAAACAGAACAATTTCAATCACCAAATATCCACAGGATGTTCACTCCTGATAAGCCAAGATTAACTCTTCTGTTGAAAGGAAGAAAAAAAAAACATTCACATATGGTAAAATACACCAATTTCTGAGCTATGCAAAAGGTCCTCAATTATTTTATACTTTTTATCATCAAAAACAGAGATGTGATGCAATATAAATATCCATATTCAGTTAAAAACAAATGTCAAGCATTTCAGCTTTTATGGCACTTTAAAAAAGTAATATACGTACCAAAACGTATTTTAAATGCCCTGGTGTTTATAATCAGAATTCGCCAGTAACCTCATCATTTACCAAAGACCAACATTTATTTGATTAAAAAAAAACCTGAGCAAAAACAGTTTTTTGGAAATGTAATGGTCTTCAACCTTGGTCATCAGTCATCAGCTAAGAATAAAACAAAAAATATGGCAAAAACCAAATGATGAATTTTTGCTATATCAAACCTTGGAAATTTATAGCAATTTTTAAAACAATGACCAGGTTGGTCATTTTACTGTAGGCAGAGGAACAAACTTCAGTGCACAGTGTAGTTCTATGCATCCTACACTGTCCACTTTGTTTTAACAACGGACTTAGAAGTAGGGTTTTAAAATGTTTGTGTGATTCTTGGGGATTCAGGAAACAGAGGGATTTGAATATAATCATAATGGGGAATTAATTGTAAATGTACAAATATTTGCCTTGGCAATAGTTTTCATGGAATGAACTGTTCCTAAATTGAGGAATGCTGGTCAACTAGAAAAGCAGCTGTGTGCATGTTATGGTGCCAAAAAATAATATTCCCAAACTGGATTTTAAAGGGTACAATAAAAGCAGTGCGTGCAGGTACAGCTTCCACAACAAAACGGCAGAAAAATTAAATGAACTTGGTAAATGAAAATAAAAACAGGAAAGGATGCTCGAATATCACATTTCACTACCGCATCGCAGCTACACAAAAGTAACACACAAGAACACAATTACACCTCAGAAATTAATTGTACTGTATATTTTGTAGATCACCCTGGATAAGGCTGCTAAGCAACTTAATAAAATATGGCCAATTATTTTGGTAATTTGAGGTAATTTTTTTAAGACACTTGACATTTATTTGCAATATTTTCCAGTAGCCCTGGTACCCAGCACTCAGTATTGAATGTAATTTAAATTATACTACTGTTTCAGTTCTGCAAATTTCAGCTAGGAATAATTTGCTCAGTTTTTATGATGAATGAATTTTGGTTGTTGCTTGAATACAGCAAAGGAAAAGCAATCAAAAACTGCACTGTTCAAATCTGATTTTTGCAGTTTTTTTTCCAAGTATGGTTTTACTGGGTGCTTACCTAGTTTCAGTGTAAGAATTAAAAAAGTTAAAGCTTATTTTATCAATATATTTGATATCAGAACGGGCAAATAATGTAACAGTTCTATTCGATCAAAAGTATGATCACAAAGTTTATTCTACCCAGTGCAAGAACTATTCAGTTTTGTAATGGCCACAACATCTTTACTGCAAATAATAGCAGTGAGAATGCTTCTGATGTTTTGTTTTTTTTCTCTTAAGACTCCCTAATCTCACTCCAAAGAATATCATTAGTTTCTCTTTCAGACAAAAGCTAGTGAAGATTGGACTTACCCCAACATCCCAGATTCCTTGGTCTTAATGACAAACAGAAACATGAGAATAGTGTGGAACATATTGTTTCTGCCCTGTGAAAAACATCAGTTATTCAAAATGGGAAGATTTGTATTTTGCTCTCAAGTGTTCACCAATATTACACTGGAGTACACTGTTACTTTTAAAAGCAGAAACAAGGGGGTTGCTTCTTAAAATGTCAACCTTGGAAATGACATGAAGAGAATCAAGTGCTATGAAACATGCAAAAAATTAAATTGAGGATTTTGGGTTTAAAAACTTGTCAAAATACACTTTTTGTTTTGTAATGAAGTGTAATGTAATTTTTCTATTACATTTCAAAGAGTTTCAAATCTTTCATACAGGGAATGATCACAATTCAGACTAGACCACTGTTATTGTCTTCAATGCTCTATACATAGTGTTCTATCAAAACATTGTTCAACGTTATGCACAGGACTGCACAAGAGAAAAAAGACAAATTACACTTAACAGTTGTTTACTGAAATCTTAGTTTTGTGTGTAAAATATAAAAATACAGAACATTTACCTTTGGAAGACTGTAGATATGCCCCTGGTAGATGAGCTGATAATGAGGAGGGTTAGTGCTGCTTTGATGAATACAGAACAGGTTCTCATTTGACATGTCTATTTAGGTGAAAAATTAAGGAAAGAAAAATAATTAGGGTGTTTTCCCCTCAGAGAAACGATGAACACCCACCCTTACCAGAAAAAACGTTACCTGGCTTGTCCGGTGTCTGTATGAAGTGCTGGGAGGTGAACGTCTTCCCATCGGGGTATTTTGGATGCGGTGGAAGCCGGGAGTCCAGATATGTGCAAAAAATATGCATGATAATCTGAAAGGCAAATTTAATAACCAAGCAGACAGTAGTTAGTTAATTAGCACAAAGTGTCTTTTCCTCTCCATCATCTGTTCTCTCAGGATGCTATGATTTGACGAGGTACTTCACACAGGCCGCAGTTTCTCTGAAATACATGCGATTTAGTGTCAAGGAGTTAGGGGCTTACAGCTGAATCGGTGGGCAGGTCGGTATCCCATTTCCTTCCCTTGAAGTCACCTCCTCCGTTCCATCGGAATGAGCTCATGCACCCGCCGTGTGCCAGCTCTGAGAGAAGAAGTGGTTACAGGCTACGCACTGCACACTGTAAATAACACCTCGGAAAAGGTCCACACTTCTGTTGTGTGTGAGAATACTGGCATTTGGAATGTAAAACTGTGAATTTTTATAAAAACCATTAACTGCGTGCTCCAAGAGACACTCGCAACGTCTAAGCAGCATATGTAGCAAAATCCAAAAACAGATTGAGAATGCAGCAAAAGACTAAAAAAAAAAACACATGTATCTGAAAGTCTTACTCACTTCAACTATAGTTAAAGTCTACCCAAAACCTTAAATACTGTCTGCTATAGATCATGCGAGTGGACAGCAACTGGTGATACAGCAAAGTTTCAGGTTGTGATGCTGAGAAAAAAATGAAAATGTGCCCGATTTCTAACCTATGAAACAACAGAAAAGAAGGGAGCATGTGCTTGTGAAACATTAACTTCACCCTTACCCTTGATTCGCTCGACAAGGTATTCTTGGTTGGGTGTGATGTCCAGATACTGTACAATTGTATTCAACGTTGGAATTAAGGAAGCTTTCACCAGAGCTGCTTGTTTAAGACTGCTGATACTGGCTTCTGTTAGCGAGACAAAATCCAAATACAGAAAGAATATAGACAGGGGCTGAAAAAGAATATTTGAACTAGTTGAAGACTACAAGCAGAGCGTTCCTTCTGCATCGTAACACCACACGGGGTTCCCTTTACCTCCTGTTTGCAGCTCAGGACATCCCATCCTTCTGAGCAGCGTATTCACAGAATCAATCTCTTTCACCAGTGCAACCAGGATAGTGTCGTTAATCCACTGCCAAAGCCAAGAAGAACATTTCAGACAACTGGCCTTTCTTTCACAGGAAATGGACTGTAGCGTAGAGACTGTGGATAATACTCTACTCCTTCATACCTTTGCATTTGCTTATACTTGGTAACACTTTTGAAACGGAGAGGGAACCCAAACTTCCCAATAATTGTTCCAGTGTGAGCTGCTGAATGATCGGGAACACGACCACCTTTCTGTACCTCTGGCAACTGCTGCCAAATTAGAAAATTCAAACTACACATTCCTTATTTAACAGAAACACACCAAAAATTAAAGCATGAAGCTAAAATAGAGGGACAGCAGCAAACTTAATGATAATCTAAGGGCAAACCAGGTGGCCCTGAGTCCACCTGACATTACAATTTTCTCAGTCTCGTCTAATAAAAGCTCTGCTTTCGGAGATGCTCCATTTTCACTGCCTTCTGTTACTTGGGCCCAATGGGTTCTCAGACCGCCTATATACAAGAATGAATGTATTTCTCGCACTCCATAGTCAATTGATCAATTACTAATCAAGAGCTCATCATTTCATCGTTTAACAGTCGTAAGCGATGTTTGATCTAAAAAGAGTGTCTGTACAGGATGCCCACTGCAATTAACAGCAGAAAAACACTTCATAAATGGACATATTTGTAATTTGGAAAATCAGCCTTACACAAAAACTCCACAAACCTCAGTATCTGCACTAAATATAACTTCTGGTTGGAAAAGCATGAACAATCTGACTGTCACTACGAAGCTCTTAAAATAATCAATACAAAATGTAAGGTAAAAATTCAGATAAGACACAGTATTTCATACTCATAGAGATTATATTTCACAGAATACTGAGAATTAAGTAAATGCCCACAAACATTTTGAAGAGTTGTCCCTCAAGTATTTGGGCACACTGTCGGTTTTGGGTCCAGAGGACTAAAGCACTGTGAAGGATCTGACCTGATCTTACCCCGCTGCATTTTTCATTTTAAATGTATTCTTTTCAGAGAACACCATGATCTGCTGCCATTTCAGGAATAACTGAAACGCTGTTATTTCAGAAATAACAATTGTGTCATTTCTGGAAAGATTTTGTATAGGTTTCAATAAATATGCAATTATCACTTCTAAACTCTCATTTGGGGTAATAGTGGAAAGTGACCAGGCTGTACTTAATAGACTATAAAATATTCCTGAAAACCTGCTTGGATTCAGAGCACCATGGGGAATATACCTTGTGCGTCCACTAGGATTCAAGGATTGAATACTTCATTGCCATGTCAACTTGCCCCAGTACAGCCCAAATAAAAAACAGAAACAACAATTTTACACTGATACGAAAACAAAAAACAATAAATCAATGTTAGACTCAACGTTTAAAAGAAGGAAAAGTACTCTATTCACTCCCATATGATGCTTGCATCAAACAAGATCTACATGCAGAGGTGCCTAATGGCCTCTATATAGGTGCTATTTGATACTTTGAAACCTCCTCCCAAAGAGACAAGCTTAAAAAAGGAGCTACCTTCTAACTGACGTGCTGTACGGGCCATGCAACAAACCATCAACAGAAGTGGGAATCTAGGGGTAGAAGTGATTTTTCTTACATTTCTAAGCTTGGCTGTCCAGGTATCGATCCGATCCACCACCAGGCGGTTTGTTGTAATCCTGGCCCAGACCTAGAAGAGACAATAATTTTATTCTTTCAGAATAAAAATAACTTTCCAGAATTGGTATTCTTTTCTAAAATGCATTTTTTGGTTGGTCAATTAAAACCAAACATTACGACTGGAAAGAAAAGAGAAATAAGAACTAGGAACATTTTCAAGTCTTAAAAAATAAACTTCAAAGTAAAAAAAATAAAATTATACAGTATCAAGTCATGTCATTTACCAAACCACTTTATACCATGCGGAGTCACAGGAAGCCGGAGCCTACCCAGCAAGCAATGGGCGAAAGGCAGGGTACAGCCAGTCCATCACAGGCCAATCATACATGAGGACAATTTGGAGGACCCAGGAGGTCTTTATACAGTTTCATTGATTACAATTAAATGAGCCTTGACAAGCTGACCCAGCACGTGTTCAATTTTAAAATGTTGAATGCTAATTGAAAGTTTGCGTGCTGCAACTCACATTTCTCCAATACCGACAATTTTAATAATGTCGGCACTTTTAGTGGGTCTCTTTTGCCTCACTCCAGTGGTATCAGAAATGACAACAGGGGAAAACTACAACCCTCTCTCTCCACTCACCTCTTCAGCAGCTTGTTTGGAGCCCAGGTCTGTTTCATCTTTGTGTGCAGAAGGAGCCTGGGACCTGCAGGCTAACTGGTACTGAAATTTCCTCAGACTCTGAGCGTAGTCTCCCACTGAGCGGTTGTAATTCCAGAATGTAGGGCTGTTTGAAGGAGAGGCAGACTCTGGACTTCCTAAAGGGTAAAATAAAAACATGAAGCAGAAATGAAATCTATGCAATACTACTGGGCTGCCCTCACTCAATTGGTATCGATCTAAAAAGAAATGTAATATTCAGGCTAACAATGCTTAAGAATAAAAAAAAACTTTTAAAATGAAAAAAATGATATGAAAAAGTCTTAGGTGTTTTGGGAGACAATGTGAACAAGCAAACAAGGCAAAAACATTAGGATATAAAGACAAAAGAGTAGAACTTAAGGAATGTTGTGTTAAACACGTATAATGCACTAGCAAGGCCTCACTCCTGTCTGCTTACCCAGTTGGCTGCGATGCCTTCGCTCCTCTTCAGAGCGCAGGAATGACTCCAGAGACTTGAGGTCAGCCACGTAATCCTCTTTCCCGCCAGGAGAGTTGAAGACCGAGGGAGAGGTGCGATATCGTGCTCTCAGGCTGGAGCCCTCCGCCGGGCCAACACTACTGGGATAGGGAGAGGATCCTGGGGACGGGCTGTAGTTCAACATCTGGAACCAAGCAACATGCCCTCCGAATATTAGAGACAGCAGCTGAACTAGCAGTTTAAACAACCGTTCAAGACTGCCATAGTCCTGGCAGTACCCAACCATTTCTGCCTGTTCTCATACCAGCAGGGCAGCGAGTGACGCTGCTTGAGTTAGAACTCCTGTTGAACCAATGTTTGCCTATGAGCAAAACGCCACAGATTTTAAAAATGCTTTGCAATGGTCATTTCTTCGTATTTTAGAACCTAAGCCACCCAATACGCTAAACTAGCTGGTCTTGCTTGATGTTTAGAATCCGGTGAGATTTAATCAAGTGGAATCTACCAGGACAGCTAATAGACTAGTTCTGAACAATATGACGGCAAAGACAAAAACACAATCAGCTGTTCTCTTCTCTGTGCTTCAGCCCTACTACGAGTCAAGCAGACCAACTATTTTTTGGTGCTTAACCCGACAGTCATAACCCAACTGGTACAACGGCACACAGGCAGGCACCTTGTTGAAGCTGCTGTTGGCAGAGTAGGCAAGGGGAGGGGAGAAGGAGCCACCGCTGCCTGCAGGGGAAGGGCTCTGCAGCGAGGGGCTGTAGCCGGTCACGCAGCCGGGGGAGAACTTGGGGCTGGTGCTGGGGGGCCGCGAGGGGCTGTAGCTCAGCACGCTCTGACCCTGCAGGGGTGAGGCCTGGGTGGAGACAGGAGCTTCCTTCTTCTCTGGCTTCTGAGGAGGAGAGACCTGGATCCCTGGGAGCACACATGGGAAGAGAATCAAAACCTAGGTATTTATCTAGAGGCGCATGTGTGACAGAAACATACTTCACGACAAATATAAATGAGAAAAGGGGAATCAAAGTCTCTTATCATTTAAAATATTCAACTGGCGCTGATAATATAGCACAAATATACAAGTAAAGGTTTATTCCATGCTGAAAAAAGAAGAAACAACGTTCTTTTTTTCTCTCTTGGAATAAACCTTTACTTGTTCCTTTGCAGCCTTCACATGCTGACGCAGCTACCTACTTGACTTACTTTAGCACAAATGTAGCTGTAAAGAACAACAGAGAAAGTAGATATTTTTAGATATACCATTAACAGAGACTGATTTCTGTGCTTTGCATTCACTGTAGAGAAAAGCCAACACACCCACCCGAGTTCCTCAGACCGAGAAGCCTGTGTTGTTCAGGAGTCACTGTGATGGTAGAAGGAGCCACTGTGTACTTGAAGTACCTCCAGAAGTCAAACAGGGCATTGAGGCTGAACAAAGAAGCCAGTACTAGTTCTGCATAAATGTAAATCAGAATGTTTTAAAGTTACCTCATGCAAAAAAAGGTTCAATTAGAAAGAGGACAACACTTGGATTCATTAAATTATTCCAAAAACATTGCTCTCTCTTGGGTTTGTGACACCAAGGAAATGAATTAATCCTAATGTGACAGTGTCTTACCTATATACCAAAGAGGCCAATAGGAGATGTTGTAATATTTGCTCAGCATTTTTCCTGTCCTGCAAAAAAAAGATATTCATTTTTTGACGATTACAAGCATTACAGCAATCCCTATTAAGCTTCCCAAAATGCAACACGACACTGGCATACATACAAAGTGTTTTAGTTCTATACTAAAATGTTATACTAAGCTAGAATAACCATTACCTTGAGCAAAAGCAGCAGTATTTTCACATCACTTACCCTTTTCTAAACTTCAGATTCTTTATTACTAATACACAGCTGTTTACAAAATGTTACCAGTAAGCAACGGGCACAAAATCTGTCCATGTATGCTACACAATGCCAGTGATGCTAGTCCACTGCACCACTCACAAATACACAAACACACACACTCACAACAGGGCCAATTTAACAGAAACCAATTAACCTACTGTTATGTCTCTGGACTGTGGAAGGAAACTGGAGCACCCAGGGGAAACTCATGTGAACATTGCGGAATGTGTACAAATTCAACGCAGATAGCACCTTGGGTCTGGAATTGAACCTAGGGCCCCAGCACTGAGGCATCTGTGCTACTCTAACTACACATCAAAGTGTGATCAATACCAACTGAGTTTGTGCTAAACTATCCATAAAATTAATTTTGGATCTGGGTGATGACCAGGGATTGGGATTTGGATAATGGGTGATCTATAATGAAAAGAGAATTATAGATACACAGTTAGTTCATCATTTATATGGCATGATGAGTTCCTGATGGCTTCTTCTCATTCAAATGTTCATCTTTTTAAAATGTTTGTTGAGGTTTATCAATTTCTTGTACAATGTTAAGAAAAGAGATGATAAATGGTGGGTGATGAACACGTTGGAAAACATAAGAGGTTGCACCCACAGGAGTAAGACACCGGGACTGAGCTCCTGGTCCTTGGTCCTTTTACATGCTATTTATTTTAAAGTTTTAAAAGTAACTAATTTTTCTTACTCTGGGTCTTAGCTTATTAATTGTAGATTTACATGAGTAATTGTTTTTATTATTGTTACTTTTTAAATGCCTTTGAATTAGAAACGTTTTATTTGTCTGCACCAATTTATTTTTGTTTCACACAGTGTCTTATTCTGATTTAGTTTTTACTGATTTTATCAACTCTATATAGAGTAAGACAATGAAAACGTTTTACTGACTCATATTATGAAATAAATCTCTAGTAGATAAAGGATGGCTACATCAGCCTAACCTTGTTATTCACAGGGGTGTGCAGCTGGCTATACTGTCTTAAAAACTCTGTTAGTCTGCCTGTTGCTGATAAAGCGAGGGTTCACACATCTTAAATTAAGAACCCGTGTATAATCCGAGGCACGTTAAACCAAAAACTTGTGGTAATGGAGAACTACCTGTATGGAATAAAGGTTTTTTTTACCTAGATGTTTAATTTAATAAAAGAGCTGAGGATCATCAGAGGTAAGAAAACAACAGCACACGGCAAAGGAACAGGTACACATTCCAGGCCAGATCAGTCCGATGCCAAAGGAAATGTGCTAAACTGATTCAATTAAGCAAACTATTAGCTCACTTAGGTCAGTAAGAGCAGAGGTGGTACAAAAACCCACAGGCACCTCCAGGTCTAGAGTTGTGCAGCACCTAGCAGAAGGCATCGTGCCAGTTTTGTTGGGGGTTAAACTGCAAACCGAAGTGAAGTGCTGGAGAACGTGCACTGACATTTCTGTGTAGATCATGCCGGCCAGAGAAACGTTGAGGACTCCCCAGGCAAGCACCACCTTCCTGGTCTGCTCCTCCTTCTTCATCTTCATAGTCCTGTCAATGAGGGCAGGCACCAAGCCCTCTTTCTCCGGCGTCATCCCTGGGGGAAACAGGAGCCCACACTTACCAGGACATTCTAGGCCCGCCTGTGGTTTCGTGCTTTTGTTTTTAGAAAGAATAAGAATGTACCCTACAGTGCTATATAGTTAGGGATACAAACAAAGGCTGGACTCTTTTACCCAAACAATTCCAAATCAAAGCATAAGCAATAATGGGAGTATGAGCAGCTCTAAAAAAAAAATCAATGTAACTACTCAGTTATACGACGCTCTTTCACACACGTTACGTTTTCATCTCACTTTAAGAATATAGTCGTTGTAGGACTATATTGTCTCTACATAGTACTTTTCAGCAGGCTAGAAACTATCCACTCAGAAATGTCAGGGAGTATAAAACAATTCAACAGTATATAAACAAAAAACAGACAACATCTAACAAACTACTGGCAAAAAGACATGAATAGTTTTTACCCAAAGATCCGCCAAGTGCTTTACATATAAGAGATTGCCCTTACAAAAAGCGGTCGTCACCACTTCGTTGCCTTTTGATCTTTTCAACAGTCACATTGGATCAGAGTACCAGCTTTTTCGAGCCAGAGTCCAGTGCAATTGATTGTAAAACGAATATGTGCTCGTAGATCCCTCCACATTTACCTAGAACGTGTCAAACTCAAATACAGGAAAAACTATAATGTTTTCCTTTTTCACAGAAGACCTCGTAACCGCGTTTGAACAGCAAAAAAGCAAACAGAATACGCCGCTCCCTCTATTTTTGCAAGTGCTGTTTCATTACAACGCCATTTATTAAAGATCCGTAATAAGGTTATTTGATTCTTGTATAAAATATATTTTTTTAATATTTCTAAAAGTAAAGAAAATCCAGCAGGTTCATTCGCGTTCCTCCTTCACCTTAGTCCTCATTTTTACTCTGACCAAAATTATGTCTGACATTAGCAGTTCGCGTTGTTATTATAGCGTGATTTAATAACTTCTTTTTCTGATATTTGTTTACAATGCATCATTCCGTATTCACAAAGTATTCAGTGATTAACAAAAAAAAACTACAGATTACTTTTATTTTCAAAAAACATACTTATCCCGCTCTCTTTCCCGACTGCTCCCTGACTTGCCCACGCAGAAGCATGACCCCGGAAATAGATGTAATGTACTTTTTTAACTTCCGGGCAGGTATCGGCTGCCGAGGCAATAAGTAGTGTGCTGCAGGTGGTTGTGCTTCTTATGTCATTGTGAGACTCTGAACAAATTATTTTACTCAGTATTCTTGTGTGGTTAAAGTAAAATAACATTTGCGAATGCAAGTTACCTATTAACATACGGCACTGTAATAGTCAACTTTAATGATTTGTTTGAGTTTTGTGATTTTTTTAGCTGTTCTTATTATGAGATGTACAAATATAATCCAAATCACAGGAAAGTGTATCTTATATTACCTGTCACTATTAATGAAAGGTGTTTTTTTGTTA